AAACAGGAAAAGAAAATGATAAGAGTAGCTAACTAGCAAACAGCCTGGGTAATAAGAAAAGGATACGGCCTCTCCCATGAGCAGAATTTAGCAGCATAAGTAGGGAATCGTTTAGTAGCCAGAAGTCAGGTATCATGCAGTGAGGGGAGGGGCAGCAGGTGCTGAGCTTCTAGGGAAGCTGGGAGCTCTTTAGGTACCAGTTACAAACATTCAAAAAATGCAAATTGTGTTTGGTTCCTTTTTCCTACCCCCAGATGTACATTCATAGTGACCCTGATTGAAAAGAGTTTCCAAACCCCTGAAATGGGGAATACTGGGCATAAACATCTCCTGGGTTGCTGTGCTTTTCTTTACTCTACCGTTGCATTTTCTGTATCATCTATTATTAGGAGTCACTGCACTTTTCATTTTGTAGTGAATGAAAAATTCAGGTTGGGAGTGCCTGGGCTGTGCCATACCCAGGCCCCTGGGTCAGCTCTGGGAGCCGCCCCTGCAGCAGGCAGCCAGGGTGGTCTCCCTCTGGGCCTTGCTCAGCCCTGCCCTGTGCTGGGAACATCGTGCGTGCCACAGCTGTCTTAAAGCATTTTGGTTTTGCTCTTTGTTTTCCAGGTGCTCATTTGGAGGCAGTCAAGGTTTGCAGTCAAGGTTTGCAGTTCAGGAAAGCAGAATGCTATCTTTATAATGAAAAAGAACTTTTCTTGAAACATGTAAAGCACCATAACATATCAGGACACTGGAAAATCAGACCAAGAGCACTTAAAACTAGGATTCTTTTGAGTTTAATATGCAAGGCAATTATCTGCAAGACACGAGTTAATGTGATTTGATCCTACCTGTGCTGTAAATACACACTTTTCAAAATGTTTCAAGTCTGAAGATACACAGACATGTTAATGCATGTACCTGTCAATATATTGAATGATAATAACACACCTTCCTCTTTAAAGAAACAAGAAATGTAAATGCAGTATTTTAATTCCCAAGACTGTGATTATTTAAAATCCAGACTACCTTCTTTGTTCTATCACAGGCATCACAAAGGGGCCTGCCTTACTTCCTCGTGTCCTTCACTGTATGACACCTGCTTTTACTGTCTGAGGGTACACCTGCTACTTGTGCTCCTCACAACTGAGCCACAGGAGATTTCACACAGAGAAAGCTCTGTGCAAACAGATCTGGACTTGCTCTGACCCATCTTCCAGCACTAATAAATCCTGCCAGGCCTGTTGGTCTCCACACAGTATTGTGCTGATGACACAGCCCCAGCTTTCAGGTCCAAGCTGGCTTGCACCTGGCCAGCTCAGGACAGCAAGCAGCTGTGTTTGGGTGGCCCCAGACAAAAAGCCAGACACAGCCAGGGCAGGCAGCTCCACTATCTCCGTGACTGAGCCCAGAGTTCCCTCAGGGCTTGTGTTCACTAAGAAAAAAAGATGCATTTCATAATGTTCAACCAATCAATTTTAATGTAGTCAAGGTAATCTGTACTTCCTATTTCTGTATCAGGTTGCACTCTTTGTCTCTATACTCTTTATGTCAGCTTGTGTAAGATTCAAGAAAACAAGCATCTATTGATGCCCTCCTTTAGTAAAAAGGCAGAAAGCTGTTACGGGAGGAAGAGACCTATGTGATCTCGGAGGAAAGAAAAGTGGTTCTTCACTCTGCAGAGGTCGGGAAGTT